ACGCAATAAGAATAAAAAAAGAATGTAGGTAATTAGGGGCCCTTTTTCTGCTTTAAGCTCTATTACTTGGGAGAATTTAAAGTAGGCAGTGATAAGAGCCTGTATATTTTGTATAAATGACAAAAATAAATAGAAAATACAAAAACAACATAGTAGTGGCATTAGTTACATTGACAGTAGCAAAGATATGCTGCTGTTTGCACTGAACTTGGTTTGTAATAAGAGGAACCATATTAGTAAGAACTGAGACATGTAAGAAGGGAAGCTTTCTTAGCAATATCAAAGTCACTATAATAATATAAGTGTATAAAAATATCACAAGGTTTACAAATATAAAGCATAGTTTTAAGACTTTCTAGTGTTTGTAAAGAAAAACTTTAAAATAATTTTATTGTCTAGAAAATATATACAAAATTAACAGAATAAGCAAAATTAAATTATAGCAGACACATTATAAGAACATATTCTATCAATTAATCAGTTTCAGACAAAATAAAAACCTTTTTTATTGAAAATTATTAATAAGATATGATATCCCTACTGTATGGATAACAACTTAAAAATTTAATTAACTGATAACTTATGGAAAAAGATAAAAATAACACAACATTTAAAATATCCATCAAATTATTAATATGCAAGGTTTCAGCTTTTAAGCGTGTATAATTAATACTTTATTAGAAATTTTAAACTCTTCAAGTAACACACATTCAAATAGAGCTGAGCATTCTTCTGTTAAATATTTGCATATGCTTTTGTTCACTATATTTGCATGCCAAGTACATGCATCAAGTAGCTAGTCCAAGTCGCAGTTGTTGTAACAGTCTGAGTAGCAGAAAGATTAAAAAATCTTCCTGCATTTTGTCTATTTCCTTTTCATATGAAGAAACTTGACTAAAAAATAAAGGAAACAATTTTTGTAAAACAACTCAACAATTTCTGGACTATAAAAATTTTGGATTTACATTTTATCTGCCATTTTTTCTTTTCTTTCATTTTTTTTTTTTTTTGTAAATGAGTTGGATATTTTTACAAAGCCAAATACCCACCCTACTCAAACTTTTTTTCAAATCTTCAAATTCTTTCAAAAATTTTGTTATATTTGAGTAAATTATCTTAACTGAAGTTTTTTTTTAATTTGAAAGTAGCATTTAAAAAATATCCACTGCTTAAATAATAATTATGAATATAATGCTTATTAGATATCTTCTTCAATTTGCATAATAAATAAAACCACTAGGATGCAAGGGGTTATTGAGTGTTAGAGAATATGAGAAAAACTATGAAGGAGAGAGGATAGTAAAAGAACAAGAATTAAGAAGACAAAAGATAATGATTGACATTACATTTAAATTTTTGAGAATCAAAATTGGCTGGGAATCAAGAAACTGGAAGGGAGTTCCACAAGCAAGAAGTGCGATAGAAGAAATTGTTAGCATAGAACTTACAATTAAATCTAGTCATTTCAACTGTAAAATGATGAGACCTTTCTGCCAATCTAGTACTGTACTCAAATTCATAATGTCTAGGTACCATAGAGGAAAGTTCATCAGAACAATTACCATGGAAGTATTTATAGAACAGGCACAGGAAATCTTCATTATGGCTCTGGGAAAGTGACTGAATCTGAGATGTCAGGTCAGAACCAATAGCATTGCAGATTCTTCTTTGGATTTTATCAAAAATCTCTAAATATATAGCAGGAACAACAGACCAAATGGTTCAGCAATATTCAAAGCAAGGATCAAGGGTTGGGTTATAAATATGTAAAATAGATTCTGGTGAGAAAAATTGTCTAGCACAACAGAGTGAATCAACTTTCATAGCTGCAGGCTTAGCAATTGATTCAATATAATCTTTCCACTTCAGGTCAGCTGAAAACGTTAGGTCTGAGAAGGCAAAATGAGATTAGCATCAACCATACTGATGGAAGACAAAAAGCATTCTCTCAGATGATTAATAGAGAATTGTTTCATTTTTTGAGCCATTAAAATTCATCAAATAATGCAGACAATGTGAGCTATTTTGATATTGACTTGAATTTCAAGAAATACTTCATCAAGCAAAATAATATAGTGAAGGTTGTTAATATTTCAGTATTTTCTGGGGATTATGTAAAGAAAATCCACCTGAATTTTCTAACAAAATATACATATATATCTTATATTGCTTTCAAAAAATTGTAATCAAAGATTGATCAGTGCAGTAAATATGATGGAATCATTAAAATTATTCTATAGTTCATTTGCAATGAAGTATTTTGAACCCTGATAAGTTTGCTTTTTTTTTATTCATTATTTTAAGTTGACATAAATAATATATATACAGGGAGCAATGGATAAATTATCATCTAAATTATGCAAAAATGAAAATAACATTGGCATCTCATTTTAACAGATATATTTTCCAAAATTACACAAAAATATCTTGGAATACTTAAGAGTAAATTTATTCAATAAAATCGTCATTGGCTTTAACCACAGTCTCCAGATGACTTTGGAATCTCCTGCAACTCTTTTGGACAGTTTCCTTCTTTAAGTTGGTCAATGCTGCCATAATCCATGCCTTCAGTTCATCTTTGGTATTACAAGGAGTTTTGTTGGTCTCTCGCTCAACTATGCACCATACATAATAATCAAGGGGGTTGCAGTCTAAGGAGTTAAGTGGCCAGATGTAAGAGGTGATGTGGTTGCAGAAATTGTCTGACAGCAATGACCTGGTTCTCCTGCTTGTGCGGCATGGTTCAGAGTCCTGTTGCCAGACATAGGGTCTTCCAGTAGCCACTCTCTTGACCCAGGGCAGCACTACCTCCTCAAGACACTTGATGTAAGCCTCTGTGTTGAGTCTGATGCCCTGTGGGAAGAAGAATGTAGGCATAATACCACCATCACTAGTGATCACTCTGAAATGTTTGTATTGGAGCTTCCAGTATGAATGCCAAGCAGTACAGCATACTGTTTCCAAATTTCTAGTGGTGTGAATTGCATCATGGTGCTTTTTTCTCACAGACTGTGCAGTCAACAAAATCAAAAACAAACAACATGCATATACAAAATTAAAAATATAAAATGGCAACAATTTACCCGTGGCACCCTGTAAATATATTGATAAGCCTGTAGATTAATGATTAAAAAAGTATTTCTTTAACACAAAAAATATTTATTTTTCAAAATAATCACCTTTCTTTTTAATGCACTTGATGGGACATATTAATCATATAAAAAATTCACTATATATTAAAAAATTCAAACCAAAATTATATCATGCTATGGACTTATTGACCTCCTTGTGCATATGTGCATGCACACACACATGCACACACACATAAAATTATCATGTTATATGATGGATAACTAATAAACTTATTGTTTGATTATAGAGGTCACGCTTAATAGATATTAAGAGATATTATTTCATATAAAATTGATATGGATCAGATTTCTTTGATGTGTTCTCGGGTTGTACTTTCTTCATATGTACTAAGCTACTCATATAAGTTTTGAATGATATTTATATGAGAGATGATTTGAAACTTCCAGGTTGAATTGTGTTTGTATGTCTCTCAACTCTTATATTATGTAAATAGTACTTTAATAATTATTTATATTTATATCCTGTATAAAAAAACAATAGTCTATAATAAAAGAAAAATAATATATCCTTTGATTTTTTTAAAAAATTACATTTTCTTTGACTTGGTGATTATGAGAACTGGTTAAATGTTTATAATTTTCCTATAAATTTCTGTTTGAAGTTTTGAGATAGAGAATTATCACACATACTGAAGGCTGTAAAGTCTGTGACTATGACAATCAAGATAAGGATATTAGTCCAAGTAAATCAGTGTATAATAAGTCACTGTAGATGTCTGAAAACCAATAATTAGTAAGATTAAATCATTAGAAAATATGTCTTTCAGTAATGGTTTAGTGATGAAGATGCAGTATTTCTTAATTTTAATTCTCATGTCTATGGGATGTTGAAAAGTTTTTGTCTCTTCAAGAAAAAAAGCAACAAAACAAACAAAAAGAAAAAACAAACATGATGTTTGATCAGATTCTAAGAAGTGAACCAGGTCAAGATCTATTCAGAACCTGTTTGTATCAAAAGAATATTGCCAAATTATAAGTGTTTGGGGGATTTCCTCAAAAAAATATACAACAGTTATTCAAGCAATAACTTGATAAGAACAGTAATTGTTAAATGTAACATCATTTTGTTGGATCATTTTAAAATAGAATTTAAGTGTTTCCTTTTGGATCTATTTTGGTATATTGTTTCACATTTAAATGGAAACAAAAAATGGATGAATTATTGATCAATAACCTTTGTCGAATTATCGTTGAATGAATTCTACAAGTTCCAGTCTTATTTACAAAAGAAAAACAAATTATTTTGAACTCAGACACTTTCATATAACTTTTGTGATAGCTCCTGTGAATTCTAGTCACAGACTAATTTAGATACTGCTATGTTTAAATTTATGCTATAAATATTTCATTGTCAGTTATCTGTGAAAGTAAAATACTTTGAAGAACAATACACATTAAATAAATTTAGTTTAGTTAAATAAAATTTTCCAACTTAATAATTTGAAAATGTATTTTCTAGAATTCTTTGTTAGTTTTGTTAAAAGTTTATATATTTGAACAACTTTTACATTTTTAAATAGCACTTTCATTTTATTAGTGTACATTCACTGATAGTGACAGGTTCATGTATGAGAAGAGGGTGCGTTTTTCTAGAATTTTATATATTGGAAATTTTCCTGTGTACCTTATATTTAAGTTATTATGTAAACCAATCGGCGTGCTCGTTTTAAACGACTCGGTTTTAACTAGCCAATGAAATGGCGTATCACGACTGGCGTCACAGCTATATAAAACTGCCGAAGCCTCCTAAGAACAGAGGTGAACAAAGAAGAGAAGGGAGAGAAGTTAGTAAGTGTCCAGTGACCGTAGGGTCGCGATATTAACATCTGAAGTGTAACATCAACAGCCATGTCCGACTCTGAGAAACAACCAGAGGGTGAAGTAGAGACTACTGAGAGGCCTGCAACCAGTGGAAAGAAAGTAATAGGTAAAATAATGTTTTGTTGAAGATGAATATTATGTAAGAAGGTAAATCCCTCTGTTGAAAAAACCGTTTTGATGCGTTCTTAATTCTCTCTTTTTTTACCTTTTAGTTAAGTAGGTCACCGCGTGGTTAAGTTAAATATTATTAAATTTTCTTTAAATTTGATTTTTTTTTTTGTACGGTTTATTTTCAGTTTTAATTTGAATCTTTACTTCTTTAACTATTGAACTACTTAGATACTTGTTCAACGGCTTCTTTTTCTATTTTTTATGAGAGTATATGGTATAACGCGACACTGGTATCTGCAAATGAATGTAACGATTCTCATTAAAGAATATTATATAGACAAATAAGAATTAAGTCTTTTAATTTACATCTATATCTATGTGTAAATAAATAAATAAATATACATGTTGTTTATTTTCAGCCTCCAAAGTATCGGGGACAGTAAAATGGTTCAATGTAAAAAGCGGATATGGCTTCATTAACCGGTTAGTATTTATTTTTCTTCTCTCTATATCAGTTTGTATGTTAAAAAAAGGTTTTCTATGACAACTATAATCTTTTTTGATTGTTGCTGTAAGTTTGATTTTAGGAAATCCCTTAATAAACAAGCATTAATGTCATCATTACAAATGGAGGTTATGTGAAAAATGGTCGGTTTCGTAAAGCTTCTCTCCACTTCTATGTACAGTTGGGGGTGAGACCAGTGCATGCAACTTGCTGCATTTCATGCAACCAAACACACTTAATTACTAAGCTTTAAAGAATGCTTTTATGAATGATAGCTTCATCTTGTTTTCTTTTCTGTTTATTTTCTGTTAATTGGTTCGAATTGTGATCTAGACGTATTTTTATATTTTACAAATTTTGAAACCACCGTTTTTATTATTTTGATGTATTTTTCTTTTATTGATTAAAGTATTTGAATTTATCTTGATTTCCTGACCGTTTTAAATCTTTAAAATATTTACATGTTATCTTATTTTTTTTTCAAACTATTTAAAAGTTCGTCTTATCAACGCGAACGCTAAAGACATTGACCGCTTCTTTCTTTCTTTCTTTCCTTTTCCTCTATCATTTGATTTTCTTTTTTTATCCTATGATGACTTTTAAGGAACACCCATTTACTCCCTGGAATGTTATTATTACTATTAAAGGTTACCTTCTCTGCTGATTCTCTAGTTGCATGTTTTTCTTTTCCCCTCCCCCGTTGATAAAATTAGAAGCGTGCCTGTCTAGTAGTAACGCACAAAAGCTTTCTCTCTATCTAATCTGGCCGACATGTTGGAATATGGTGAATTCATCGAAGACTCTTTTTCTCCCCTCTACACATTTTTGACACGTGGCAAACCTATTTTTACGGACACCCTTCTTGTCTTTTCTTTTTTCTTATCTTAAAAATCAAAACCGTTCACTTCACAGCAGTCGATATAAACATCTTTCGGCTATTGAAAAAATATAAACACAAACTCCAAAGAAGAGTAGTCGTAAATGACTGTAAAAATGTTACTTTTAAATGGTAGGCAATGAAACCTTGTTGACTTGAAATAATTTAAATTAAAGTCAACGTTGATTTCTATTTATCTATGTTTTTTTAATGTGTGATAGATAATAAAACACGTGGTCATAGAAGTGGAATTCAAGAAATGTAAAGCCGGTATCGATTTCTCCTGCACTCCTTATATAGTACCGTGTTTGTTTGATGTTGTATTACGTGTGTAACTCGTGTGCCATTCTTGGCTCCATTCTTGTTAATAATGATTACAACTATAAAAAAATAACAGTTGTCGATGAGGAGGCAAAAATTGTCAATCAACTTCATTTTTTTTGTACTTTTCTCTTTTTAATAAGTTATTTCTTTTTCGCTTCCTCTTCGTGTATACTACTCACCATTACAAAATAAATAAAAGTAGTTCATACTCTGATTAAATTACCAATCGACCCCACCCCAAAAAGTGACCATTGGCCATGTGGCTAAATAAAAAAAAAAAAATAAAATAAACGGTGTTAGTCAAAAACTAGTCCCTCAACATTTGGAATAACACTGTCTGCTAGACAAAAGTTCATTTTATTTAATTTAACTTAGTTTGATTTCGCTACGTGACATCGTTTCCTTCATCATTTTCCCATATAAAGTGATCCCTCTTTTTTGTAAATAGGGCAACATTTAGATGCCGTATAGATTGATAAAATATTCTTTAACTCTTACTTACGTAGCCTAAAAAGCATAATTATTGCATATTTCAGTGTGTTAGGTAGCTGGTCTTTGTAGTTCATAATTATTATCAACGATTAGTCAAGTAGTTATAAAATTGGCCAAGTGACACCCCCACTACTTACGACACCCAAAAAACTATGCACTCCCATATCTCGACTTATGAGATCCCCTTTAAAAATTCGTTGTATTGATTTGACCTCTTAATGTCCTTTCTCGTCTACGCAAATGTTGTAATACTATTTCGTAAAGCTCTATATGTAATAAATAAAAAAAATAAAAAAAAAGGTTGCCTGCGAGATACTTGTTCTTGTCTGTTGTTAGTGTTTATCTAGAGAGCGACTCAACCGACTGAATAATTCTATCTGGCCTTATTTGGACGTGCTACCAACATGAAATCGCAGATGCATCTGCCTTTTTACCCATAATTCTATATTTGCTTCTATGCTCTTTAGGAAAATAATTAAATACATTGATTTAAAAGAAAGAATTTAGCTGATTCTGTGTTATAATTTTGTCTTGTCAGCAACTGGAATTAATGGTAAGTTTTTGTTGGTCTTTAAAGAAAAACGAAAATAGCGATTTGCACCGGAGATGATTCTTCTATTTTTAGCCTCTTCAGTCGAAGTGTTCCTAATTTGGTCCTCGCAAAACTGACTTGCTAACTTGAAGAATCAGCTTCTTGTATTATTTATTTATTTTTTTATTATTAGTCTCTGATGATTGTCACCTTAAATCTAATGACATCTCTTTTTGGGGTTTACTATCGATTAATTTAGGCCATTTTTTTTTTTTTTTTTTTTTTTTTTCCTTTTGCAACAAAAAAAAAAATGTTAGACTTCCATAGTAATATCCAGAGAAAAGATGATATCCAGGTTACATTGGTAATAAAACATAGTCACGGTTTCCTTTTTTTTTTTTTTTTTTTGTTTGTTTTTTTTTTTTATTTTTTTTTTTTATATTTTTTTTTTCTTAATTTTTAAATTTTTTTTTTATTTATTTTCTTTTTCTTATTGACAGTGACATTAAGTAAAGAAAGTGTAAACTTTAAGCTTCGAAATGTCAAACAACTTATAAACAATCTCAGCTGGCATGGATTGTTAAAAACCCCTTTTTCAATTTTGGACAAAGGTTTTTTTTTGGTTTTTTCCTGACATCAGAAAGTTAATTTTCCTCCGTCTAGCAACAAAAAAATCTACCCTATGAACTGTTTACCATTTTTAGTTGGTAAAAGTTACAAATACATAGAATCCGTTCATTTTAAAAAGATAAACAACGTTGTTTGTTTACACAATCTAAGTATCGTTTTTATTTTTTCAGTCGAGCTATTGTTTTTTGTTTCTCTTAGACTAGTGCTTCAATAAAAGTTGTATTCTTAATAACAGATCTTTGCAGTATTAAGTTTTTCCTAACAATTTCTGAATACCTAACACTGAATTACCTCCCTTACATTTCCTTTTAGCTTTCTTTGCCTAGCCTCATATCTTAAACTCCTAACTAGTGGAAACGAGGCATGACCAAACTTGAAAACTAATACATATGTATCCGTGAATTGTCAGATTAAGTGTTATAGTTTATATATAAAATATAAAGGGAATTGTTTAGTGTGCAGAAATCGTTTACGATATTAGAATGGACAGTAACTTATCGTAACTTTCACAAACTTATTGAAATTGTCCTTCAGAAAAGTTAAGAAAATTCAATGATAAGAATAAGAAAACTAAAGTTATTGCAGATGTCGTCGGTTCTTGAAATTTGATTGTCCATAGTTAGGTACTGTCCCCAAATTGCTAAGAATTACTGTTTTTGTCTTCCGTCTATGCAGGACCTGGAAATTTGTCTTTTTGGGGTGAAAAACCAGTTAATTTGGAAATTCTTGCAAGAATCATAATTCTCATGAATTTTCGCCTTATCCAGAAACGAATTGATTTTTGGGAAATGTTACTACTTTTCACCCCAAAGCAAAGTGATATTGGCACTAAGATGAATTGGGTTGGCTGAGAGTGAAAGGAAATGAGAAGGCATTAATGAGGGGAAAGGACCATAAAATACCATCTTCAGGAAGACTGAAGATGGTGATTTGATGTATTTAAATTTAGATCATAGGTAACAGGGAAGCAAGAAACCAGAAGGGAGTTCCACAGGCAAGAAAAGAAAATATTAGAATAGGACTTAGTTACACGTAACTATTTCAACAGTGAAACAATAAGACCTTGTAGTACACATTTTAAATTCATGCAGTCAAGGTACCAAGAAAGCTCATTAGAACAATTGCTACAAAAATCATAAATCTTGAAGTCACAGGTGAATCATTTCACAACAGTAGGAGAGTGAAGTTGATAGGTTGGGATTGACATTACACACCCTCCTTTGGATTTTGTCAAATCCCTATCTACCTAGGAGCACCAGATCAGACATAGCAGTAATATTCAATCCATGGACAAATGGTAAACTTATAAATGTGCAGGAGGGATTCTGGCATGAAACTGAACAACTTTCCAAGCAGCAAACCTAGCAATTTTTTCAAGTTTCCACTTGACACCAGTGAAAAACATGAAACCAAGAAGATGCAATGAGTTGTTCTCTTTGGAGTCAGCATCAGCTTTGATGATGGAAAGCAAAAAAGATTCTTCAACATTATTAATAATGCAGTTTGATTTGGGAGACATTAAAATTGTTAAAACTGAAGGACATTTTCAAGATCAGCTGTCTGTTTTATTTTATTGGACCAATCTGGCTCATGCTTAAGAGTAAATGGTTGTCATCAGCATAAATAGTTGGGAACTGCTGACATCAGGATGGTGGTTGAAGATAACATAGGTCCAAAGATCTGGTAAGACGCCAAACCCCGCCCCACACACACTCCTTACCGTGTAAGGATCTAGAAGAGTGGCCATTCAATACCACGCTCATTACATGATTGGATAGTCGAATATTTGGTCAGACAGCACTCAAAACAATTTTGCCATTCTTATCTAAAGCTTGAAAGACCAGTTTAGTGATTGTTAATGTATCAGTAGTTAAACTAGAGAAACAAAAGCTATATATATATATATATATATATATATGTGTGTGTGAAAGGTTTTATAAGGACTAGTCTTCAGCAAAATTATATCAGTTTTTGGGTCAAACAGGCCTCTGTCCTTCCAATTACTGAAAATCTGTTGAATTGTAAAATAAAAAATATACTATTTTAAAGATTTTTTTTTTGTGTGCGTGTGAAATTTGGTCAATTTTTCTTGTGAAAAACACATTGCTTTGGGAAATCTTTCAATGGTGAGATACTTGTCAGTTTTTATTGAAATTTTCAGAACTTATTCTATCCCCTCCAACTTGACTTTAAAGAAAAATGTATTTCTCTTTTATGCTAAGATTAATGTTTCAAATCTGATTACACTTTAGCTAATTTTCCTCAGCTGTTTATGAACAGTAAATTTTATTTTTTCTTCAAAGTATTACTTTTTGGTGATAGACCTGTCAATATGAATTAATTTATCTATGTTACTGAGAAGGAAGAAAAGGGTTCCACTCAATCTAAATACAGTTTGAAAATCTTCAAAGTATTTTGCTCATTGTCATATTGAATAATTTTAAGAATTTTTTTTTTTTTTAATGCATACCTATAAGCACAACTGGTATAATCTAACTTCTGCTTACACAAAACATGGACGCTACTAGAAACCATTAAAATGCCCACATAGACCAACTAGATTGGTGACACAAACGCATTAACCAATAAAAACATGCATCAGAATTTTTCTCCATATTTCGTTTTCTGATGAAGCTTAAATAAAAGCAAAACATTAAATTTATAAATGTTTTTTATTTGTTCCTTATCCTGTCATTGTGGGATTCTTATTCATATTTGATCCCAATTCCTACTTAAAAATGCCAATATTAAGAATGGCTGGCATAACTGTAAAGTAATAGGATTCTTGAATTAAAAGAATTTATAATCCACCAAAATGTTTCTTGTTAATTTCCTTAATGTGTTTTATTGTATGTTTTTGATTCAACCAAAATGACTTCATTTTCAACTAAAATTTTATGGATTAAGCAGATAAACTACCTTTTTGAAGCTATTCCTACTTAGATAATTTACTGCTTAATAAACATAAAAGGGAGGTGGTTATATAAACATATACTCATATTATGAAATGGGGAAAAACTAAATATCGTAGAATAAAACTTTGAAGTAATTTCTCTTAAACTTGAAGATCAGCAAAGATTTCTGTAACGTTTTAAAAGATACAGTTCTTGCAAAAATGTAAATTTGCTGGATGCATTAAGTTTACAGTTCAATGTTCTTTATAAAAAAAATTCTTTTGTGTGAAAATTTGAATCTTGTTTACTTGGCCAACTACTTGTTATAGAATTGTTAAAGTTTTGACCTAAAAAGCCTGTTGTAAATGCTTTTTAGATGGAAGTTTCCTCTTCTCTTTGTAGGGAAGACACAAAGGAAGATGTCTTTGTACATCAGGTAAGTTTTGAATAGTCTATCAAAGCAACAGATTAACACTAGAAACTCTCTCTCCATTTCATTTTAGACATTGCAATGAATTTAAGAATACTAACTTCATTTAAATCTGTTTAATTTGCAGGGTGGGAGGAAACTACGAAGAATATTTTATAATGTTTAAATCTTATGAGTTTAAAAAAAAAAAAAAAGGCTCTTTATGTATATCCTGTAAAACATGTTGTCTCTTTATTTGTAAAACTTTCATAAGTTTGTAGCTCACAAGTCTTCATAAGTGGGCAAATCTTGCTCCAATGGATTTTGCCAATAAGTACGACTTGTTTGTACTATTCCATTTATTGGTTATAGATAATACTAAAGTTTTTATTGTCTAACTCAATCATTTTTATCAAACTTATTCTTCATAGTATGCTTGTGATGAGACTATTTTCAATGAAGTTAATGCTGTAAAATGAATGAAGAACTTTGACAATTCTAATAAATCGGTGTCCCAGAGGTAACTTAAATAAACTAAACTTTTATATTTGGTGTGGACAGATTCTGTTCAGAGCAGCTTGAATGAGAACAATACTTGAATTGATTTTGCTCATTGTTCACTTTTGCAGTGTAAATATCTAAACTGATGAATACTTTTGCATTTTAACAGACAGCTATAATTAAAAACAATCCTCGTAAATATCTGAGGAGTGTTGGAGATGGTGAGAAGGTGGAGTTTGATGTCGTCGAAGGAGAAAAGGTAAGTTTAGCTTCTTGCTTAAACTCTGCTCCTGTCTCTCTATCTTTATGGCAACTGAAAAGCTTGTGACTTTGTATTGGTATTTAGAAATATTAATCTTTCTTTTGACTGTTTTGGTAACTTTGCCTATTGAAACCAATTGGCAAATATGACCATAATGTCTTAATGTTCATTTATTGATGTGTAGAATTCTTATGAGTATGCTTATTCAGACCTAACATGACCAGCAACTAAAAATTTTACACTTCACACTCTGGAAACCATGTCCTTGCAGTTGTCCATATAAGGGTAACTAGAACACTGGCTTCTATACATTTTATATGCATAAACAAATGATTGTTGTAAAGAACACAGCTAAATAAGTGTGTAGTGATTGCATACTAAAAGATACGGCCTTGTCATATGTAAATTAGCTCAACTGTAAGATAGCATAGAAGCCTACTTATCTATCCACTAGCTTTATAAGACCTCTTTAGTTTTGAGACCTGTGTGATGAAAAAAACAAACTATTTGGTATTGACAATGAAATTTTTTTTTTTTTTTTTTGTAGCAATTTCATATTTTCATGGTAAGGAAAATGACTTTTAAATTGTCACAAGCTACCCTTGTTTATGCAAATTAGTATCATTAAATCTTGACAGGTTTGAAATGTACATTGACACCAACTTGAACTTGTATATAATTTGAATTTTATTTCAAGATTTTCCAAAGAAATGTAATAAAAAAAAAAAAAAAAAAAATTGGTTGGACATAAAAATTCTCCAGAATCTTAACATATTGCAATAAACTAAATATATGTAATCACCTGTGATTTTGGGGAATTTCTGGCAAATTCTTAATATACTCTGAGGTAGGAATGGTAAATAAATTGTAAACGCTTTGCAAATAAAATTCTGGATTATATTTTCCTAATACTCTTGCAAGTAAAAAAGATTTTTTTTTTTTTTTTTTTTTTTTTTTTTTAAATAAACTCTCTATGCTCTTGGGCAGACATGTCACTCTTTTATGCTTCTTATTCTTCTGGTGTAAAATTTTTAGCTAGGTTTGTCCCATGGTCCAAATAGGTTAGTTTGGTACAAGGTATCCATTGCACTTAGCCAGGTAACAACATGCTTTAAAAGTTGCAAAACCTAGCTCCAATTTAAGCTTGAATACACTGAATGCAATTTTCATTAGATACTGCATGGCAGACTTTTTAGTCATTTGATCTCTTAGATGGTTGGAAAGATCACAGAAGTTGGGCAAAATAAATTAATCCATGAATTTGCATAATAGCAGTTTTTGGAAATAACTGCACTTAATCTCTGTCTTCCTTAAAATATGCATCTTAATTGAGGCTAATCCATTTGTCTCTTGAATAAGGTATAGTGAAATAAAATTTGAATTTTGAAAAATTTAAAAGTAGGCTTGGCATAATTCTAGACAAATCTATTACATTTGGTGATGTTTAGGAGTTTGACTTTTCCATCCATGATTTTGATTTTACAGCTGACAAATGACAAAATTGTTTTTTCTTTGCTTGGGAATTTACAATTTATGCCTCAATTCAAATCCTACTTGATTTGAAAACTTCTAGAATAATTGAACATCTTCATCTCGGTATGAGCATAAAAAAAATCTTTCTTGGTCCATGACGTGCTTTAAAATATGGGGGTAAAAAGTTGCATAGTCTAACCAAAATTTGACACCTTTGTGTCTGGTCCGTTTTGCTAGTTTATAAATCAAATATGCTGACTTAGTTCATTTATCTAATTATTTTTGAAAGTAATGAATAATTTCTGAAAATGGTGACAACAAACTGCATGTCTTGACTTGAACTAGATCAATTTTTGCAGTGAGATTGTTTCTACCAGGAACCTGGAAAATAAGATTTTAACTATTGTCAATTCTAAGTTTCAAAGGCAGCTGCTGTGAAGAAAAATGATAAATCTGTGTTTGTCAAATTGATGTCCATATTACTTTCATGCTTTATTTGTAAAGTCTGTGATGCAATTAGCATACCTGAATACCTTACTTTAATAAATATTTTGCAGGTTTTTTTATTTTCTCTTGGAGAGAAAAAAAGCTCAGTTTCCTGGCTCATTCTTTCAGGGTAATGAAGCTGCCAATGTCACTGGACCTGGTGGAAATCATGTGCAAGGTAGCAAATATGCTGCAGACCGACGCAGATATCGACGGCGATGGTGGAATAGGAGGCGCCGTGGTGCTGCCAGGGAGGTAATTTGTCAACTTTCAATATAATACATATGTATGATTTCATTACAATGCTATGAATTTCAATTTTACTTATAAATGCTCTAACCACACAATAAGGTATGGTACTCAACATTACATGACTAATCTTTGTGAATGCATTCCTTGTCATCCCTTAAGATTTTTGCTTCATATCTATAATCTGTAACTTAAGGCACAATATTCTTTTTCTTTCTTTCTCAGGAAGGTGAAGAGGCAAAAGATGACCAAGACGATGGGGAAAGTGGTGAAGGAGCTGGTAGTGGAGAAGACCGTAGCCGACCCCCAATGAGGCGCAGGCCCTACTGGAGACGGAGACGCTTTTTCCGTGGCCCAAGACGTGGCATGCCATCTCGTAGCATCCCTCAGGACGAGCATGGTGGAAACGCTGGTGATGGCGATTCTCGGATGCATGGCCCACCCCCATTCCGCCGACGACGCCCCTTCTACCGTAGGTATTATCGCCCACCCATGCACCGTTACTCCCAAGGTGGCCCACCTCGAGACGGTGATGCTCAAGATGAGGGGTCTCAGAATGGACCTCCTCCTTCCCGGCGACGACCCAGGCGTTCTAGAGGTGGTGGGAGCAGCTTCAGGCGAGGCAGATGGGGATCACGAGGGGGTCGTACAGGCTCTGGGCAAAGGGAGCAATCTGAAGGGGAACCAGGAACTAGTGACAGTGGCCATAAAGCAGAGGATTCTGCCCCCAGCAAATCAGAAGATAGCAGTTCAGCTCCTCCTGCTCAGTCATCGACAGAAGTGACTCCAGCTGCTGCTGCTCAGGTGGCTGCTTCGACTTAATGTCCCTTTTAGCACAGCTTACGTAGCAAGAATGAAATGAGAAAAGACAAATTCCAGTCTCTAGGAAGATCTACTTAATTTAGTAAATGCTCTAATTTTCCCCTGTAAAGTTGAATGAACGCCATTTCAAGCAGCTTTTTCTCTTTTTATGAAAAGAACATCCAAAAATACTCACCTCCACTTACCAGCAACAAGTTGATTGGGGTGGCGATCATTCCTGATTGAATGCAGTTTGTGGGGTGGTAGGCCTCTTTTCTTTTCTTCTTTCTCTGAAGGAAGAAAAAAACATGATCCAACTCCATCATTTATTAGCCCCATTCCTAACATCTTTCAACTTTCTATCAGGGCAGTGTAAGGAAGGCTACGTTTTTTTGAAATAAAGTTCCATCTTAAGCAATCTGTTTTTTTTTTTTTTTTTTTTTTTTTTTTTTTTTTAATAATCCTTCTCATAAATTTAATGATTTACCTAGAGACTAGAAAAAAAATGAAGTGTTATGGATTCAAATTTAACAACTTTTTGAAATTGAATGTTGTAAAATAAAAAAAATTACAATAAATGGTCAACTACATAATTTAACTTTTGTTCCTGTATCTTCAATTACTATGACACATTTGAAGGTTTTATTTATTGACTGCGCCTATTTGTTTAATACAGAATCATTTCTCAAACTTGAGTTCAGAAGTCTTTCCACATTCTGAAATTCTCATCTTTCATTGTAAATAGTAACTTAAAATTCTACTTTGTATTTTTAAATGGGGGGGTATACTTTAAATTGTCAGGTGCATGTGCCAAAACATTTTGGGACACATTTTTCTTTTCCCCACTTTGGATGACAACATTATATTAATCTGTGAATAAGATTGGAGCAGAATGTTGACATTTGTACCTAGAAATATAGGAGAATTAATATCTCTATGCAAATAGAACATGTCAAAACTAGAAGGAAACTTTTAACCAGTGATGCTTGAAAGCCGTGTCTTGTATTGATCGGCTGCAAAACTTTCTACTCAACTCTGATCATTTGTGGTTTACAAATGACTCTTGATGAACTGTGTGCACGTGCCTTGGCTGGACAGCTTCCTAGTTTTGTGTGCATGTGCCTTGGCAAGTCTAAAAAATGTGAAATTGATTCTCTAATGCTTTTTCTCTCTTCATATTCAGTGATTTTTTTTTTTTTTTTTTTTTACTCCTGATGAAATAATTGCTTTTAAGGTGCATCACTTAACCAAGTGTGTAAAGTAACTGGATATTATGAGGAAATCTCTTCCTTACATGCCTGCCTCTCTCTCTATGCTAGTCTAACATAGAAATGGTTTATTGGTGCATAGTCATCAAAGTTAGAATCTTGCCACATGAGACTAAGAATGTTTTAGTAACATTTGAACAATTATTTGAAAAATACAAATATTGGGAAGATTGTAAATGTACACCTAATTTGAAATATTGAACTTGCTTGTTATGGCTTTAATCACGACGGAGTATCTATATCTTATGTAATGTGTGCATACATGCACTTTGTAGTATGCATGTATTTTAGTAGTGCTGTAACTAGATACTCGTCATCATCTACATTATGAATGTTTACAATGGCAGAAGCTCCTTTCAAATTGATGTTGAGATTTTTTTTTTTCTTCTATGCCCCACTTCCAAACTGAAAACTGCAATTGTTTGGTACACTACTGAAAGCAGACTTAGGTTTTCCAAAATGTTTATTTACTTTTAATTTGGAATTACTTTTTGGGTAAATTGATACATAATGCTTCTTGAAATGATTCATTTATTTGAAGGGATGATTATAAGAACTTGGCAGTGCATTGCTTTTGATATGAGAAGCATAGCTTTATTATTCAAGTTTAAACTGATGATCAGTTATGTCATATACAGTGATGACGACATTTGCAGTTAATTGATGCACATAATTGGAGCCTGACTTTTGACTGCATTATGAAAGTGGAAATTAGAGAAATAATTTTATTTCCTGGAAAACTTTACTCTTACATATTTTATAAGGAAATTATGATTATTGATAGTTGTGAGTGATTTTTTTTTTTTTTAACACTAACTGTAATCCATTATTTGATAGGATGACTCTTGAATGGCACTAAAAGCTTTTGATGTTTTAGTGTCTTGTTCTTGCTTTAATTGATCATTTTAAATTGTCAAAGAAAATGGCTTAGTGCCTCTGAAATTTTGGGATGTGCTGAAGTTCTCTGCCTGACCTACTTAGCAAAAGTTTTGGCAATTCTTGATATGGCCAATAATTATTTGGCAATCCTTTATATGTACACTCTCATATTCCATTAAAAATGAAAACTTGCAAATCCCACACAGCAGTGACCCTTTCATTTGGTGTGTAAATTTATATACACACCAACTTTTAACTTCGCTAAGCCTTGTATATATCTATTCATTCCTGGAAAGATGAAATGGTATCAGTTCTTATCAGCAATCACTTATGAAATATATTAACCAATTTCTGTCACTCATAGTTGAGCTATAGAATAGCAATTTCCCACATAGTGTGTGTGTCTGTGGTGCTTTAACATGCACGATTCAACCAACTACAGCATGACTTGAATTACTTCATTTGGGCTATAGATGTCACTTTTTGTGTTTATTTTTGTTAGTACGGGATTATTTGAAAATGTTTTAATAAAAGTTATAATAAAACATTAATCTGCACTGTCATCTTCACTTCTTTTTGTACCTGATAGTTTCTGTAATTAATCTTAAGTTTATTACAATGTCTCTTATATGATAACGTTACTATCCCAAAGTTTAAAAATTGAGTATTAAATGTTTCATATTTATATTTGAAGAACCCATTGAAGTCGGGGGGGGGGGGTTGCACTGTCACTTCGCTTTTATTGATAGAGTAGTCTTAGAAATAAGGTATATTTGCTGTTGCCTGGAAGAGAGTACATCAGAGGTCACTCAAACTTTTTTTTCTTTCATTCTTTAAATGCCATGTCCTTTCAGGACATAGAGGAACCCATGGAGATCTATGGTCTCTAATCTAATTGTTATCCTGGGAGTGGCATTACTATCAAAGTGAACACAATAGTCCAGAAGTCAAATTTGAATAGCCATGACACTGTCCACATTCTTGATAAAACTTAAATATAAAAGAATGTCAACAATATAGTGGGGCTTCTTTCTTTTTCTTTTTATTTGATCTGTATTGGTTAACATTTGTAAACAATTTTGGTTGAGAAGAGGGGGTGGTGAAGACAGACTTAAAAAAAAAAAAAAAATTACATCTGAAATATTGTTTTCTATTAAAAATCAAGTTATAAAATTTATTGGCTTTACTCTGCTTTCTACAAATGTGCTTATAATTTACATTCTTTTACTTTTGTGTATGATGTCCTTTCAGAATATGGACAGTCATGGCTGTATACAAATTCCTTTCTTGCTTTTTGACTTTGTTCTGCCATCTATTTATATAAGTTTAAGTAGATTACTTGTTTTTTTTTTTTCCCTGATTTTCTTACATTCCGTGTGTCCTATGATTTAAATTCTCCAGGCTTTCTAACCTTGGTATGTCACCCAGAAATTTCATCTTTCTCTGATTGTATCGATTTTCTTGCAGTTAGATCTAAATTAATAAAATCATTTAACAAGTAGGTGATTGGGAAGCTTAAGAATTTCAATTTATGGAAGGAAATAAGTCTCAATTCATTTAAACCTTTTCTACATCTCCAGTTTCAATCCCGTGTGTGTGTGTGTGTGTATATATAAAATGAAAATTATCAAAAAAAAAAAATAATAATCCTGTCATTGTTATTAAAGTTTTCATTCAATTAAGATGTTTCAGAGGAGTTTTATATTTATTTCTGTGTAATCAAAACTCTGCTCGTGTGCTTTTTACATTTTTGTCTTAATGGGTTTTTTTTTTTTTTTTTTTTAAGTTTAATTTCAACCAAGGAGAGAAAATAAAATTACAACAAAGTTAATTATTTTTATTTTTATTTTAGAGAGAAATGGAGTTAATTCCCTTGAACTCTTTGTAATAAGAATTATCCACCCTGAATCAAGTTTCCGGTTTAAATTTGTTGTACAATTCTTTCCAATGTTTTCCCCCAAATATTTAAATATGAGAATTTTTGACCGGTTATTTTTATCTATACTATATAGTTAAAACAATTGAAATAATAATCAACGTTGAAAATTGTTTCCTTTCGTCCGTCAATCAAATATTGGTACCACATCTGGTTTGGTACTTCTGTTTAGGTACTTCCCAAAGATTCACGGAAAAAAAAAAATGAATATACATGGTGAAAAAATATCCAACTTGTAATAAAGAGTTTTGCCATCAAAATCTATAAGAGGAAAGGACAAAGCATTTTTCTATCATTAAATTATATTTTTTTTAATCCTTTTTAGAAACTTAAAAATTCATTTTTATAGCACTTAATCTTCATATTAGTTATAATGACAAGTCCTCAGAATTTAAATCCATTTCTTTCTTTTTTTTTTTTTTTTTTTTTTTTTTTTCAAACAGCACCCCAGTTACAGAAAATCTGTCTATTGTAAAATAAATGCAATAAAACGAAGACATTATTTAATTAGGAAAGATTTTAATTTCATAAGATATAGTATGAACACTACTGATTTAAGAAAAAATTCTTAGAAAAAATAATGAATCTTTTACAACTTTTTTTTATTTTTTTTTTTTTTATAATTTTTAAAAGTTTAAAATGTTGTATTACTTTGTAGCAGTTAGGTTATATTATTTTTTTTTTTCTTAAGACAATAGTCCTTAAATATATTTATGAAATCCTTTAAATGCTCTTTTCAATTAAATGTAATTTTTTTTTTTTTTTTTTTTTTACAATTCAGAGCAGATTTTTCGATAAATGGTGTTTGTTTGATAAATGCTGAAAGTTCTCTAAGGAGTCCTACTTATAACTAATATAAATATGGAGAGACTCATAAAATTAAATGTAACAGATGTAAAAAAAAAAAAAAAAATTTCATTCGTGAATAGGTCCTAAAA